AAATATGTATGTTTTATTTTATTTTAGATATATTTAAATTACCAAAAATGATTTGTAAAGGTTTTTGTTTTAGTTAACAATAACGCAACTGAGTTTAGGTTAGGGTTTCATGAAACTAATTAGATCATAGATCATAAAAATGTGAAATTAATATAATAATAATTAATAAATATATATATTTTTAAATAAAAATATTTTATTATATTAAAAAAATTTATTTATATTTTATATTTATTTAAAAGGAATTTATTCATATGAATGAAATGATCAATTCAGATTTTTATTCAGTGTTTTCTGTTTAAAGTCTGTTTTAAACACGTCTCATTGATCTGTAGGAAATTCTAGAAAACCAGTTAGTTTAGGTGATTGAACAGTTGAGTCTGAATCTTAGTCAACTGGTTAAAGCTGGTAGAGCACCTTGGTTAAGATGGTAGGAACTGGTTTATCTGGTTAATGCATGTCCCAAAACACAACTATGACGTGTTTTTCCCAGCAGGCCGTTGGCTTGTGTGTCGATGTGCTAATATCAGACGTCAGTGTTGTGGTTTTAAGGTTAAGACGACCTTTGCTCAAATCCTCAACCGCTCCAAACTGCACTTCCCCTTTGAGACGAGCGCTTCCTGTGCCGCTCTTGTCTGAGTCTGTCTGCTTTCTCTCAGAGAGACGGACAAATAGTCATTTAGTCTCCAGCGTTCTTGGCCCCTCGGCAACCGTAACCCGGGGCGACGCAGCTGAAGGGCTTCCCTTCAAGACAGGAAGTGTCAGTGATAATGAGGTTTTCTCTGTCTGTGAGGCCTGAGGATCAGGGTTAGGATCGACGGGTTATAATAATTTATTTAAATATCAAGTGTTTTTTTTGGGGGGGGTTTGTTGTTGTTGTTGTTGTTGGTATTTTTTCCTCAGTATTTATTCTGTTTCAGCACGAAATACATCACATTACATAAGTAAAAGGGTTTGATCCTCTGAAACTCTAGATTACTGGAGTGTTTTTCTCAGGAGAAGAGCAGCAGACTTCAGCACAACTCTCTGTTTGCTCTGTTTTTAATCTCATTGCTTTGAGAAAATGCTGATGTATGCCGTTTCTTTTCTTGCATTGAAAGGTTTGATCACAAACAGACAGCCGGTGCGTTTGCTGCAGAGCTCTGGTGATTGCTGGAGCAGCGACGTAAAGCGCTGAAAGTCATCCAGAACCGCTCAAGTGTTTGGACTGTCTGTTCAGTTGAAGACGCAACACTCTCCAGTGGCTTGAATCTCATGCGAAAACTCAGAAGAAGCTGCACCAGAACTCTTTACTAATGAACACGAGGCCGGTTGACCGTTGCTTACTGTTGCTCGCTCAGACAAGCTTCACAGAACGTCACGTAGAAGTATATATGGATATTAATCATAAGTGGGCTATATGACGTCTGGCATTGAAAAGCCTTTAATCTGTCATCTGAGCGTCTAATACCGTGGTACTGAATGATTACTGTATTTATATACCATGATATTTACTTGTTTCTCTAAGCTGCCATGGTACATGTCCAAAAACCCTTCTATAATAATAACAGTGCGTAATTTTCCTTAATAAACTCACTTTAGCAACCCGCCCAAATGATCTGCAGGTGTGTGCCAGACAGGTGCAGCGTGACCTGAGCTCAAAGAATATTTCCAAGAAAGTATCTTGGTATTATCAGGCTTTTGGACTTGCATCATGATAAGTCTCCAGCAAGTACCACAATACATACTATAGTATATAAATAACCTCTTAAAGGGATAGTTTCTCCAAAAATGATCTTTCTGGCATCATTTAATCACCCTCATGTCGGTTTTAAAATATTTGTCTGCAGGAAATTCCAGAAAATCCAGCTAGTTTTAAACTAGTTATTAGTTGGTTTAGGCATGTTATTTTAGTGTTATATACTAGTGTATTATTTTTTAATATTTTGAATTAGCTTTTATTTTTACATTTTCAGTTTTCATTTTAATTTACTAGTGCCGTTTTTATTAATATTTTGTGTTAGCATTTATTTTTATATTTTCAGTTTTCATTTTAGTTCATTAAAATGTTAATTTTAGTTTAGGTAATTAGGCTTTTTTTTTGTGTTAGTAATTTTATGTGCTTTTGTCTTTTATGTGTGTGTGTGTGTGTGTGTGTGTGTGCGCGTTTTTGTGACAAATGAGGACATAAATTTGTATAATGACAAAGGTATAACATAGGTATTACAAGGAGAAGGTGACTTTTCAGGACATTACCCCATGTCCCCACTTTTCAAAATGCTTATAAATCACACAGAATGGAGTGTATTGAAAATCTGAAACAGCACAAAGTTTCCTGTGAGGGGTAGGTTTAGGGGTAGGGTTGGTGTAGGGCAATAGAATATACGGTCTGTACAGTATAAAAACCATTACGCCTATGGGATGTCCCCACTTTTCACAAAATCGTGTGTCTGTGTGTGAGAGTGTGTCTGTGTGTGAGAGTGTGTCTGTGTGAGAGTGTGTCTGTGTGTGAGTGTGTGTGTGTGTGTGTGTGTGTTTGTTTGC